CAGCGCCGTCGTGAATGCCGCGATCACGACGTTTGTCTGCGGAGAAGCTATAACCTCTTCTCCTCGCAATCTCCACGAGACATATATTACCTCGTCATTGACGGGTAATATATCGGTTATGTCGTGTTCTGGACTCGTGAGCAAAGCTGCCAATCGCTGGTAATTTTTCACGATCTCGGTGTTAGGCAAATTGGATCATTGACCGAATTTTTCCCAAAAGGAATTTAAACAGATCTTTGCAACCGAACGTAGACCTGAATTTCGAGCGATGTTATTTTTATCGAGAACGATAGCTCGGTTTCCTCGTATTCCGGAAGATATCGCTCCTTAGCTTCGTCATCCACGCATTCGTTCGGCCATCCGCTAGCTTCCTGCTTCAATTGCTAAAAACTATTGATATATCCGGTAAACAATCCACCTTGCCGCGTATCGGGATCATATCGCGTGACCTTGTAGTGCCAAATTTCACTCACTTCCGACACGCGATAACCTTTCTCGACGGCTTTGCGTAATTCACAGGATACCCAGGTACCCTCGAATTCACGTTCGGCGAGACTGTGAGTACACTCAGCTTGAGAGAACGTTTCGCAGCAACTCCGACACAGCGCGAACAACAATTTGCCGCGTACGCGATACGGGAGTACCGGATGAAAGAGATCGCGCGGAGGGAGTACTTTACAACGAATGAGTCCTTCGAGCGAGTTGAAATCGAAATCCGGAAATACGCCGATTAACTCGGAACATTCCTCTCCGATGTAGATCTTTGGGTGACCGATCGGAAAAGCACCCGTTTTCAGTACATAGGGATACAGAGAGCATACGTCTATGTAGCGTATTTTCTCCGTTCCCGCAACATCGCATCGGGTTGCTATATTCCCCGTTCGGCCACCGAAAAATGCATCGCGCGGATCGAGAGGTGAGTTCTTTATTATCTGAGCATTTTCAAGAAAATTGCGCATCTCATTATTCTCACGTATTTTCCTGTCGAAATCGCACTCCCATTTCTCCATCACCAGGTATCCCCGTCGTCGAAGACGCCATGTCGCTGCGAGAGTTCGCTCGTAGCGCGCGTCGATCGTATCGCCATGATCGGTGAAAGAATTGAATTTTCTTTCGCGATTTATTCGGAAGCATGATGGACACCCATGCCAAAAGCATCCGTGCAATTGTAACACGTAATGACGCGTCTCGTTTTCCAAATCAGTTTCGTAATATCCATC